ATGGGCAAAAAATCCAGTGGCTAGATGTGCCAAGCTTATAGAGACATACCCCAAGAGACTTGCAGCTTGTTTGTTTCACAATAAAAAATATTTTGCATCTTCAAAGTGGTAGGCATGCTGTGTAAATCAAATGATACAAACCCCCCAGAAATCCATTTTAATTCCAGGTTGTAAGGCAACAAAATAGGAAAAATGCCAAGGGGGGTGAATACTTTCACAAGCCACTGTAGGAGCACCAGAAAAATAGATTTTAAAATTGATTGAGATATAGCCTACATTGGTTCTACAGTATATGAATCCTACTTACTTTTGAAGCTCCTGAAGAAGATATCACTTTTCCTTTATTTTTGTGTCACCAAATGTTTGTGTATACTGGTAAAGTTACCAGGTTGTTAATAGGGCTGCACGATATGGGCAAAAAATCAAACTGCAATTTTTCAACCAAATCACATCAAAAGACTTGGGTGAACAGTTTGAATCATAAAAATGAAATTATTATTCTAATTCTATGGTTGTTGTTGTTTTGCATGACAACAATTGAAAAAGCCAGGCAGGAGTTATGGCAGGGTAGGAACCAAAGTGTTGGTCAGTGTTTCCCAGGGCACCCTAATCACATTTGAATAGATTTATAGATAGTTGCATTTAGACAAAGATTTTAGAATAGGCTAACTATTCAGAATATGCCGTTGCACAAACAACATGCTGATTTACACCACCACTGGTAGCAACCTGTATTAGAGCTAACATTTTGTTTTGTCCTAGCTAGTGCATTTAGCTAAATGGCATTTAACTAGCCAGCTAGCTAGTTAGCGATTAGCATTAGCAATTAGTATTATTTTAGGCACATGCTAGCTTCCTTAGACTAACTAACTTGCATTTTGCAGAGAGCAAGATACACAAATTAATAGTATAATAGAGGAAACATGTGGATTCATATTTAGACGCAAGGTGGAAAGCAGCATCGTTCTTGTTTTGGAAGAATATATGTTGAATGCATGGGGCGGCAGATAACCTACCGTTAAGAGCTTTGGGCCAGTAATCGAAAGGTTGCTGGTTTGAATTCCCAAGCCGACTAAGTGAAAAATCCATCCTTGAGCAAGGCACTTAACCCTAATTGCTCCTGTAAATCTCTTTGGATAAGAGCCTCTGCTAAATGATGTAAATGCATGAATTGACAGCATGCTGAGAGAATAAACAGCATGGAAGAACTGTGTGCTGCCTGCTTGAGTGACAGGGGTCTTGGTATGTGTGGCCTGGGAAATGGATGTAAGAACCAGGCTGTAGTGTTGAGGCAAGATATTGTTACGCATACACATTTTTATTGGATTTTCTTCTAGTCAAACTGGTGCTCCCAAAATAAAACACCAGGTCGCACAGCAAAATATTTTGTAGCATTTTAGAGCCTTGCTCAAAGGACAAAATCCATCAAATGTAGTGGATACCACTTTAAATGTCAACTAGTATGACCTCTTAGTGGGCAGATTACTCATTATAAGATATAATTGGGTCTTGTGTTGTGTGGCACCCATTTGAGGATGAAGCAATCCATCTCGCCTCCCTTAGCGCTAAGAGGCAGCCCTGTATAGAGCCAAAACCCCAGCCTGGCTTTGGCCTGGCCAACACACCAGCCTTTCCCATACACTCCACCCAGCCCAGGGCCCAGACTCCCCAGGGAGCCATAGATTAGCCCTGGCCAAAAACCACTAATCCCATCACATACTTCCACACACATACCTCCACCCCACCCCAACCCCACCCAGCCCAGCCTAACCAAGCCTCAGCCACCCCAGCCATGGCCCAGCCAGGCCCTCTCCTCACTCTGCCCTGACTGCCTGGCTACATACATACAGGCTCATTGCAAACAGCCACTGAGGGGGAGAGGTGAAGAGGTCTGGCATGGAACTCTCGTGAGAGTTTTAACCACACAAGTCAACATCCAGAATTGTAGCATTTGTACTGCCCCTTTTAACTACTGGTTGGTAGAAATATGGTTTGTATTGGGAAAACTTGGGGAAACTTTTGGAGAGAAATCATGTTGAAGTGGTGTTGAAGCCAAGCAGTCTTGTGGGTCGTTTCTTTAGTGATATACAACAGGTTGGTGGTTATGGAGCCATACCTTTATCACAAGTATCCGATAATTTCACAGCCAGTTGAGCGGCAACTAAGAGGGGTCAAGGGGTCAGAGGTTAAAACCACAGAACCTCCTACTGGTGTATTGTGTTACCTGGGGCTGAGGGACGGAGGTCAGGGCTAGAGCTGGTGTAATCCTAGTGAGTGTTCTCTATGGAGAGAGAGAGAGCAGGGGGGGGTGTCTCAGCCACATCAATGGAGCTCCACAATTACTCTCCTACCACCAACTTAATATCCTGTGTGGCATTACATTGTTGGGTCAGGCCACTATTCTTACTCTCCTTTCTTTTCTTTCTCCCTCTGTTTTCAATAGCTCTTCTGTGCGTCCACTCTCCATCAATAATCCACCACTCTAAACCTCGGTTCTCCCCAGAGAGCATTCAAAAAGCCCCCAAACCAAACTAAAAGCAGATTATGATTCCTGGTTAAAACCGGACTATGAGGAATGAGGAGAGTGAGAGCCATTCCACATATACGGATTACTATTTCCCCCCTAAAGAAAGCAAGGATCCACTCCATCTTTTTAGATTACTATTTCGGACAATGGACAGAAACATTCCACCCTCAGGGTTTACCGTCTTGCTTCAAGATTATCATACCACCTTAAAACTAGACAATGTAGGAGGGACTATTCTGCTCTAAGTGATTACAATTCTGAACCATGCTGACAATTCTGGGGAGTCCTCCTTTATTTGGATTACCTCATCCTCAACCAGAGGGGAGAATTCATTTAGTTTTCTGAATGGAGGGACAGAGGATGAGATGGAGGGAGGGAGCAGCGGAGGGAAATCATTAAAACCCAATGATGAGAAAGGTCCCCCTGTGAAGAATCCCAACTCTGTCTTCCCCCCATTCACCCTCCCTTCCTCCTCCCTTCACATCCCCAAACTCCCACCTCTTGTTGCTTGGATGGCAGTAGTATGCCTACAAGGCAAAGAGCAGTAACTACACAAACAGTCCCTCTGAGCCGTGGACGAAGGGCTCTGTAAGGTTTACCCTGAGATGACTTGGTGGTCCGGCTCTGAGGCTCTGAAGTCAGCCTGATAGTGTAAACACTCTTAAATCATCACATGATCTCATCACCAGCCTTATGTTAAGCTATAGAGAGAAAGAGAGAGTCCAGAGGATTGGATGGTCGGGGGGGTCCAAGCTGTTGCAGTGTTCAGTAACCATGGTGCTGGAGATACAGTTGAAGTCGGAAGTTTACATACACTTAGGTTGGAGTCATTAAAACTTGTTTTTCAACCACTCCACAAATGTCTTGTTAACAAACTATAGTTTTGGTAGGTCGTTTAGGACATCTACTTTGTGCATGACACAAGTAATTTTTCCAACAACTGTTTACAGACAGATTATTTCACTTATAATTCACTGTATCACAATTCCAGTGGGTCAGAAGTTTACATACACTAAGTTGACTGTGCCTTTAAACAGCTTGGAAAATTCCAGAAAATGATGTCATGGCTTTAGAAGCTTCTGACAGGCTAACTGACATAATTTGAGTCAATTGGAGGTGTACCTGTGGATGTATTTCAAGGCCTACCATCAAACTCAGTGCCTCTTTGCTTGACATCATGGGAAAATCAAAAGAAATCAGCCAAGACCCGAGAAAGATAATTGTAGACTGGTTAATCCTTGGGAGCAATTTCCAAACGCCTGAAGGTACCACGTTCATCTGTACAAACAATAGCACGCAAGTATAAACACCATGGGAGCACGCAGCCGTCATACCGCTCAGGAAGGAGACGCATTCTGTCTCCTAGAGATGAACGTACTTTGGTGCGAAAAGTGCAAATCAATCCCAGAACAACAGCAAAGGACCTTGTGAAGATGCTGGAGGAAACAGGTACAAAGTATCTATATCCACAGTAAAACAAGTCCTATATCGACATAACCTGAAAGGCCGCTCAGCAAGGAAGAAGCCACTGCTCCAAAACCGCCATAAAAATTCCAGACTACGGATTGCAACTGCACATGGGGACAAATATCGTACTTTTTGGAGAAATGTCCTCTGGTCTGATGAAACAAAAATATAACTGTTTGGCCTTAATGTCCATCGTTATGTTTGGAGGAAAAAAGGGGGCTGCTTGCAAGCCGAAGAACACCATCCCAACCATGAAGCACAGGGGTGGCAGCATCATGCTGTGGGGGTGCTTTGCTGCAGGAGGGACTGGTGCACTTCACAAAATAGATGGCATCATGAGGAAGGAGAATTATGTGGATATATTGAAGCAACATCTCAAGACATCAGTCAGGAATTTAAAGCTTGGTCGCAAATGAGTCTTCCAAATGGACAATGACCCCAAGCATACTTCTAAAGTTGTGGCAAAATGGCTTAAGGACAACAAAGTCAAGGTATTGGAGTGGCCATCACAAAGCCCTGACCTCAATCCTATAGAAAATTTGTGGGCAGAACTGAAAAAGTGTGTGCGAGCAAGGAGGCCTACAAACCTGACTCAGTTACACCAGCTCTGTCAGGAGGAATGGGCCAAAATTCACCCAACTTATTGTGGGAAGCTTGTGGAAGGCTACCTGAAACGTTTGACCCAAGTTAAACAATTTAAAGGCAACGCTACCAAATACTAATTGTGTGTATGTAAACATCTGACCCACTGGGAATGTGATTAAATAAATAAAAGCTGAAATAAATATATTATTCTGACATTTCACATTCTTAAAATAAAGTGGTGATCCTAACTGACCTAAGACAGGGATTTTTTACTAGGATTAAATGTCAGGAATTGAAAAAAACTGAGTTTAAATGTATTTGGCTAAGGCGTATGTAAACCTCTGACTTCATCTGTAAGTGACTGAGTAGTTAGGTTGTCTGTGTTGCCAGATGCTGGATCAAAAGCTGCCTATGTGAAGGTATGCTACTACTGATGGGCCTAGGTCCAATTATACTACTGATGGGCCTAGGGCCAACTATACTACTGATGGGCCTAGGGCCAACTATACTACTGATGGGCCTAGGTCCAACTATACTACTGATGGGCCTAGGGCCAACTATACTACTGATGGGCCTAGGTCCAACTATACTACTGATGTGCCTAGGGACAACTATACTACTGATGGGCCTAGGGCAAACTATACTAATGATGGGCCTAGGGCCAACTATATTACTGATGGGCCTAGGTCCAATTATACTACTGATGGGCCTAGGGCCAACTATACTAATGATGGGCCTAGGGCCAACTATACCACTGATGGGCCTAGGTCCAACTATACTACTGATGGGCCTAGGGCCAACTATACTACTGATGGGCCTAGGTCCAACTACATTACTGATGGGCCTAGGTCCAACTATACTACTGATGGGCCTAGGTCCAACTATATTACTGATGGCCCTAGGTCCAACTACTGATGGGCCTAGGTCCAACTATACTACTGATGGGCCTAGGGCCAACTATACTTACTGATGGGCCTAGGCCAACTATACTACTGATGGGCCTAGGTCCAACTATACTACTGATGGGCTAGGTCCAACTACATACTGATGGGCCTAGGTCAAACTTATACTACTGATGGGCCTAGGGCCAACTATACTACTGATGGGCCTAGGTCCAACTATACTACTGATGCGGCCTAGGGCCAACTATACTACTGATGGGCCTAGGTCCAATTATACTACTGATGGGCCTAGGGCCAAACCTATTGAACTTACTGATGGGCTAGGGCCAACTATACTACTGATGGGCTAGGGCCAACTATACTAATGATGGGCCTAGGCCAACTATACACTGATGGGCCTAGGCCAACTATACTACTGATGGGCCTAGGCGAACTATATACTGATGGGCCTAGGTCCAACTATATTACTGATGGGCCTAGGGCCAACTATTACTACTGATGGGCCTAGGTCCAACTATACTACTGATGGCCTAGGGCCAACTATACTACGATGGGCCTAGGGCCAACTATACTACTGATGGGCCTAGGTCCAACTATACTACTGATGTGCCTAGGGCCAACTATACTACTGATGGGCCTAGGGCAAACTATACTACTGATGGGCCTAGGTCCAACTATACTACTGATGGGCCTAGGGCCAACTATACTACTGATGGGCTTAGGTCCAACTATACTACTGATGGGCCTAGGGCCAACTATACTACTGATGGGCCTAGGGCCAACTATATTACTGATGGGCCTAGGTCCAATTATACTACTGATGGGCCTAGGGCCAACTATACTACTGATGGGCCTAGGGCCAACTATACTACTGATGGGCCTAGGTCCAACTATACTACTGATGGGCCTAGGTCCAACTATATTACTGATGGGCCTAGGGCCAACTATATTACTGATGGGCCTAGGGCCAACTATACTACTGATGGGCCTAAGGCCAACTATATTACTGATGGGCCTAGGTCCAACAATACTACTGATGGGCCTAGGTCCAACTATACTACTGATGGGCCTAGGTCCAACTATATTACTGATGGGCCTAGGTCCAACTATACTACTGATGGGCCTAGGGCCAACTATACTACTGATGGGCCTAGGTCCAACTATACTACTGATGGCCTAGGGCCAACTATACTACTGATGGGCCTAGGTCCAACTATATTACTGATGGGCCTAGGGCCAACTATACTACTGATGGGCCTAGGGCTGTCACGATCGTCTGAAGAAGCGGACCAATACGCAGCGCGTGGAGTGAACATGATGACTTTTATTTAATAAAGCAACCACGAAAAACAACAAATGACGATAGTGAAGTCCTCTGTAACACTGACAGAAACATGGAACAAAAACCCACAAACCAAGGAGAAACCACACAGTTTAAATATGGCTCCCAATCAGAGATAACGAGCCGACAGCTGACACTCGTTACCTCCGATTGGGAGTCATATGACTAATCAAGAACAATCACCCAACATAGAAATGAACAACTAGAATCCCCAACATAGAAATACACCCAAACAATGAAAATGAACAACCCTGGCTCAATAATCAAAGTCCATGGAGCCAGAGTGTCACAGTACCCCCCCCTAAAGGTGCGCACTCCGGGCGCACCAGCATACAGTCTAGGGGAGGGTCTTGGTGGGCGTCTGTCCATGGTGGCGGCTCTGGCCCAGGTCGTGGTCCCCACCCCACCTTAGTCACTATCCGCTTCCGTAGCCCCCTCCACCTGACCACCCCCCAATTAAACCCCACTGGATTAAGGGGCGGCACCGGACTAAGGGGCAGCACCGGACTAAGGGGCAGCACCGGACTAAGGGACAGCACCTGACTAAGGGGCAGCACCGGACTGAATGGCGGATCCTGGCTGGCTGGCTCTGGCGGATCCTGGCTGGACGGCTCTGGCGGATCCTGGCTGGACGGCTCTGGCGGATCCTGGCTGGCGGAAGGCTCTGGCTGATCCTGTCTGGCGGAAGGCTCTGGCTGATCCTGTCTGGCGGAAGGCTCTGGCTGATCCTGTCTGGCGGAAGGCTCTGGCTGATCCTGTCTGGCGGAAGGCTCTGGCTGATCCTGTCTGGCGGAAGGCTCTGGCTGCTCCTGTCTGGCGGAAGGCTCTGGCTGATCCTGTCTGGCGGAAGGCTCTGGCTGCTCCTGTCTGGCGGAGAGCTCTAGCGGCTCCGGTCTGGCGGACGGCTCTGAAGGCTCATGGCAGACGGGCGGCTTTGCAGGCTCAGTACAGACGGGCAGTTCCTGCGGCGCTTGGCAGACGGACAGTTCAGACGGCGTTGGGCAGACGGGCAGTTCAGACGGCGTTGGGCAGACGGACAGTTCAGGCCCCGTTGGGCAGACGGCAGACTCTGGCCGTCTGAGGCGCATCGTAGGCCTGGTGCGTGGTGCCGGAACAGGAGGTACCGGGCTGAGGACACGCATCTCAGGGCTAGTGCGGGGAGAAGCAACAGGGCATGCTTGGCCCTGGGGACGCACCGTAGGCCTGATGCGTGGTGCCGGAACTGGAGGTACCGGGCTGAGGACACGCATCTCAGGGCTAGTGCGGGAAGCAGCAACAGGGCATGCTTGGCCCTGGGGACGCACCGTAGGCCTGATGCGTGGTGCCGGAACTGGAGGTACCGGGCTGAGGACACGCATCTCAGGGCTAGTGCGGGGAGAAGCAACAGGGCATGCTGGACCCTGGGAACGCACATAAGGGCTAGTGCGGAGAGCCGGAACAGGGCATGCTGGACCCTGGGGACTCACATTAAGCCTAGTGCGGAGAGCAGCAACAGGACGCACAGGACTCGGGAGACACACAGGAGGCTTGGGGCGTGGTGTAGGCACTGGTGGGAAAGGGCTGGCGACGCGCACCGTATCCCTGGTGCGAGTGGCCGGAACAGGCCGGGCCGGGCTGGCGAAGCGCACCGTATCCCTGGTGCGAGTGGCCGGAACAGGCCGGGCTGGGCTGGCGAAGCGCACCGTATCCCTGGTGCGAGTGGCCGGAACAGGCCGGGCTGGGCTGGCGAAGCGCACCGTATCCCTGGTGCGAGTGGCCAGAACAGGCCGGGCTGGGCTGGCGAAGCGCACCGTATCCCTGGTGCGAGTGGCCGGAACAGGCCGGGCCGGGCTGGCGAAGCGCACCGTATCCTTGGTGCGAGGGGTCGTAACAGGCCGGACCGTACTGGAGGCACACACCACTGGCTCTACCCCGGGAACTGGAACGGGCCGGACCGGACTGGATACACACCTCAGTCTCTCACGCCGTGCCTCTACATCTCCTTTCCCTACTTTGGCCAGTGACCCCCGTAACCTGGTTGCCTCTTGAATTCGCCCCTTCTCTGCCTCCGTTAGCCCCGTCGTCCAAGCCATGTGCCCCCCCCCAAAAACTTTTTGGGGTTGCCTCTCGTCCTTCCAACGATGATGGCCCTGCTGACGCCGTTGCTCCTCTCGCCGTCGCCTCTCCACCGTTTCGCTCCATGGACGGCGATCCATCCCATCCAGGATCTCCTCCCAAGTCCAGGACCCCTTTCCGTCCAAAATCTCCTCCCATGTCCAGGAAGCCTTTGGAGCTGGGTCCTGTTGCCGCTTGACACGCTGCTTGGTCCTTTGATGGTGGGTTTTTCTGTCACGATCGTCTGAAGAAGCGGACCAATACGCAGCGCGTGGAGTGAACATGATGACTTTTATTTAATAAAGCAACCACGAAAAACAACAAATGACGATAGTGAAGTCCTCTGTAACACTGACAGAAACATGGAACAAAAACCCACAAACCAAGGAGAAACCACACAGTTTAAATATGGCTCCCAATCAGAGATAACGAGCCGACAGCTGACACTCGTTACCTCCGATTGGGAGTCATATGACTAATCAAGAACAATCACCCAACATAGAAATGAACAACTAGAATCCCCAACATAGAAATACACCCAAACAATGAAAATGAACAACCCTGGCTCAATAATCAAAGTCCATGGAGCCAGAGTGTCACAAGGGCCAACTATACTACTGATGGGCCTAGGTCCAACTATACTACTGATGGGCCTAGGGCCAATTATACTACTGATGGGCCTAGGTCCAACTATATTACTGATGGGCCTAGGGCCAACTATACTACTGATGGGCCTAGGGCCAACTATATTACTGATGGGCCTAGGTCCAATTATACTACTGATGGGCCTAGGGCCAACTATACTACTGATGGGCCTAGGTCCAACTATACTACTGATGGGCCTAGGTCCAACTATACTACTGATGGGCCTAGGTCCAACTATATTACTGATGGGCCTAGGGCCAACTATATTACTGATGGGCCTAGGGCCAACTATACTACTGATGGGCCTAAGGCCAACTATATTACTGATGGGCCTAGGTCCAACTATATTACTGATGGGCCTAGGGCCAACTATACTACTGATGGGCCTAGGGCCAACTATATTACTGATGGGCCTAGGTCCAATTATACTACTGATGGGCCTAGGGCCAACTATACTACTGATGGGCCTAGGTCCAACTATACTACTGATGGGCCTAGGTCCAACTATACTACTGATGGGCCTAGGTCCAACTATATTACTGATGGGCCTAGGGCCAACTATATTACTGATGGGCCTAGGGCCAACTATACTACTGATGAGCCTAGGGCCAATTATACTACTGATGGGCCTAGGTCCAACTATATTACTGATGGGCCTAGGGCCAACTATACTACTGATTGGCCTAGGGCCAACTATATTACTGATGGGCCTAGGTCCAATTATACTACTGATGGGCCTAGGGCCAACTATACTACTGATGGGCCTAGGTCCAACTATACTACTGATGGGCCTAGGTCCAACTATACTACTGATGGGCCTAGGTCCAACTATATTACTGATGGGCCTAGGGCCAACTATATTACTGATGGGCCTAAGGCCAACTATACTACTGATGGGCCTAAGGCCAACTATATTACTGATGGGCCTAGGTCCAACAATACTACTGATGGGCCTAGGTCCAACTATACTACTGATGGGCCTAGGTCCAACTATATTACTGATGGGCCTAGGTCCAACTATACTACTGATGGGCCTAGGGCCAACTATACTACTGATGGGCCTAGGTCCAACTATACTACTGATGGCCTAGGGCCAACTATACTACTGATGGGCCTAGGTCCAACTATATTACTGATGGGCCTAGGGCCAACTATACTACTGATGGGCCTAGGGCCAACTATACTACTGATGGGCCTAGGTCCAACTATATTACTGATGGGCCTAGGTCCAACTATACTACTGATGGGCCTAGGTCCAACTATACTACTGATGGGCCTAGGGCCAATTATACTACTGATGGGCCTAGGTCCAACTATATTACTGATGGGCCTAGGGCCAACTATACTACTGATGGGCCTAGGGCCAACTATATTACTGATGGGCCTAGGGCCAACTATATTACTGATGGGCCTAGGGCCAACTATACTACTGATGGGCCTAGAGCCAACTATATTACTGATGGGCCTAGGGCCAATTATACTACTGATGGGCCTAGGTCCAACTATACTACTGATGGGCCTAGGGCCAACTATACTACTGCCATCCAGTTGTAACCCTCTCACCAGACTAGTTTAGATCAGCATGGGAACAAAGGTGACATCTCAGTAAATGAACTTCTTACACCATCAGGCTGACTTCAGAGTAGGGATGTGCACAGTTATTCGAATATTCAAATATCCGAACGGACGTTACTATTCAAAGACATTTTTACATTTTTTACATTTTACATTTTAGTAATTTAGCAGACGCTCTTATCCAGAGCGACTTACAATTAGTGAGTGCATAAATTTTTCATACTTGTGTGAGTATTCATTTTTGTGAGAAAAAAAAGGTGTCTTTTATACAGGTAACGAGCTGAGATTAGGAGCACAGGGAGTGCTCCTAATCTCAGCTTGTTACCTGTATAAAAGACACCTGTCCACAGAAGCAATCAATCAGATTCCAAACTCTCCACCATGGCCAAGACCAAAGAGCTCTCCAAGGATGTCAGGGACAAGATTGTAGACCTACACAAGGCTGGAATGGGCTACAAGACCATCGCCAAGCAGCTTGGTGAGAAGGTGACAACAGTTGGTGCAATTATTCACAAATAGAAGAAACACAAAAGACCTGTCAATCTCCCTCGGCCTGGGGCTCCATGCAAGATCTCACCTCGTGGAGTTGCAATGATCATGAGAACGGTGAGGAATCAGCCCAGAACTACACTGGAGGATCTTGTCAATGATCTCAAGGCAGCTGGGACCATAGTCACCAAGAAAACAATTGGTAACACTACGCCGTGAAGGACTGAAATCCTGCAGCGCCCGCAAGGTCCCCCTGCTCAAGAAAGCACATATACAGGGCCGTCTGAAGTTTGCCAATGAACATCTGAATGATTCAGTCTTTGTCAGTGGGCAAACGTACAAAATCAGCAGGGGATCAAATACTTTTTTCCCTCACTGTACAAGGATATACGTGACATTTCAAATTATGAATAAAACAATAAACTGTGGTTTTTATGACGTGCACAGTGCACCTTCACATGTAGCATGTTGTTTATGTTAGCCATCAAAGCGGCAAAGAGCCTCAATGTGTAGCAAGTGGAGTGAGAGTTCACTAATGCAATGCAAGAAGGAATAAAATGACAGAATTAAAGTTTGCGAAATGAGAAGGAGTAGGCTACAATGAGCAACCAACAGGTAGGCTTTGTTTAATCTAATGTGGTTGGGGAGAAGGCGTAGCATGTGGCCTCAATTAGCCTAGCTAGCTCTAGGCTAGTCCGGTCAAGACAGTCATTGTTATATGGGATGATAAATAACATTGTTGCTGCTACAAGTTAAAAAGTTAAGTTGCCTTGGCGTCTCTCTCTCTCTTCCTCCGTCTGCGCTGACTTGCTCCCATCTCATACATTATAAACTGGCCCATTCACAGCAGCAGCAATAGAGCGCAGCAGTGCTCAGGTTAAAAGCGTAAGTTAAAAAAACACATGTATTTTGAATATCCGGATATCCGACAAAAATTCATGATTCTATTTTAATAGTGAAAATATTTATAATCCCCAGCCCTACTTCAGAGCCTCAGAGCCGGACCACCAGTCAGCCCAGCGTAAACATTACAGAGCCCTTCGTCCACAGCTCAGAGGCGGGGGTGTAATATGGGATGGGAGGTCTATGTTGAGGTGTGGGGGGGGTCATAATGGATGTCTTCACCAAGGGGTCGGGGGGGGGGGGGGGGGGGGTATTACCCTCCACTAGGCTGTGGCCATGCGGTGATCTCCACATGGTTACGCCAGAGGCCGGCCTTCTCTCACCTCAGCAACCTCCTCAGCATCACAGAGCCTACAATCCATCATGGAGGCCAGTCACTATCTTTCAAACGGTCTTAGTCGCTAAGCCTCCTGCTGTGTAGTCTCATTTCCCCCTGACACTCTCCTGAAAACTCCCTTTAACACACACACACTCACACAAACACACTCACACATCAACCTCCTCTGTGAGCAGTCATTTCTCATTCCTCTGTCCAAAGCCACTGACTTTTCCCTGGGAGCGCATTCTTCACACATCCAACAGTGTGACAACCACCATTAAGGCCCCATTCCTCAAACACACGGAAGTGTCACAACACATTAGGGCCTGAGCAGACACCAGCGTACACACAATGGTGCCATAGATGAACCGCATTACCCACACTCCCTCACTCATCACCTTCAGAACCTAACCTTTTATTAACCAGGTCGCCCAGCTGTGATGACTAATCTCTCTGTCAGACCCCGCCACGATCAGGAAAGCATTTGCTTAGGACTCCTTTTCTCCAAACGGCCCCAATAACACAGTCGCTATAGGGAGATCCAAGCGCATTTACATCACACATTCCTACAGCAAATACACAATCCCTGAATAGGAATGCATGTTAAAATGAAACAGGCAAGAATCACAACCCGATTGGGCCCTCTCAGTGGGGTGCATGTTATCACAGTTAGGTTTCCCATCGCTACAGAGGAGCTCAAGTGTTCCAAACGGAGCATGTGTTTTTTACATGACTGCGGAATAGCAATATGCCTTACCTGGGGTTGCTGTGAGCATTAGTGCGTGCCAAGCTAAAACATTCCCATAAGTAATTTGTGCTTTACGTTGCAGGAGGACAGTAAAGCTTTTTTCCACTGCTTGTTTATCCATTAGTGCAGGAGAGCAGAACGTTTCAGAACGTTCCCCGCATGTTTGTTTGTGCATGAGGTTTAGGACAGTAGAACCTCGCTCTCTCTGTAAGCCTGAGAATCACCATGCAACCATTTTCTCTTTTTATGTTTGGACATTAACCAAAGTTGTAGACACTCAAAAAGCCTCTCCTATTGTATACAGTCCATAGAGTAGGGAAAGACTTGGTTGTTTCCACATTCCAATACAGGACATAAACTGTTTCCCTGTGTATGCTACTTTCCATTCACATCAGGAGTGCAGACTGTCGTTAGTGTTAGCGATTAGCCTACTGAGGTATATTATGATGTGACTGCTGCCTGAGGGCCTTATTGAATACAGGGGCCCTTGGGGAGTAAATGAGGGGCCCCTCGGGGACCGACCCGCGGCTATTTCTCCACACCACATGACTCATGCTCTCTGATTTATATGTCAAACGTCCATCTTTCCCTGTGTCTGGGCCAGGCAGGATGAAAAGCGTCAGGGGAGTGGGGGGGGGGGGGGGGGGGGGGGGGGGGGGGGGGGTAGGGGACAGAAGCCCTGTCCGCACCATCGAGGGCCAGGAGAGGGAAGTCTATTGGGAGTTTGGGGGAGGAAGGTGGAGACAGAGGGTAAGTGAAAAATGCCCCTCTGATGTCTCTGTATCTAAAGCCCTTGGTAACAGTTTATCAGTGGGGATTAAATAGCGGCTGAGTTTCAGAGTTTCACTGTAAGCTTATGCCCCCACAACCCAGACTCCCCTCCGGCCTTCACCTCTCAGCTGCTGGGAGATGAATCAGGAGCATGCTGGAGGTAGGGGACCAGGAGCAGGGCCAGGCTGAAGCCAGGACCCAGGGGGAGGACACCCAGGCCAGGCTGGAACGTGCCTCCATGCTGGGTCCTGGGCTTACTGCCTGATTGCTGGTCATTACCCCCTCATTACTGGGTCGGACAACCAACTCACACAATGAATGTTAAGGTGTGTGCGTTTGTGTGTGTGTGTGTGTGTTTGTGTGTGTATTTGTGTGTGCGTTTGTGTGTGTGTTTGTGTGTGTGTGTTTGTGTGTGCGTTTGTCTGTGTGTTTGTGTGTATGTGTGTGTATGTTTGTGAGTGTGCAACACAAGCATCAGGTTGCTGACATCCAGTAATGACGGATGGTCTGAAGATCATAAAAGACAAAGGGGCAGAAACAGACCCAGGTATACACACAAAGACATACACACCAACAAAATATCCTGTATCTATTCCCACTCACACAAGAACTTCCACACGTATGTCCACAAGCATGCAGGCCACGGTGATTGCACTGCCCTTCTCCTAAACAGATTAGGTTAGTCTGGAACCAATTTTCCTCTCTGGGCTGCGGGGTGCAGGCGACCCTTCACAGAGCACGCTCTGTTTGGACACGGATAATCAGCACTGATCACTCCACGAGCAGGGGGCTGCAGGAGAGGGGAGGGGTGGGGCAGGGGGATACCACACCTCATAGGATGAATGGTCATGGAGAGATAATGCAATAATATAAGGCTAGAGGCTATACTGCCCTACAAATGCAAAACGCAGTAACTACGTAAATTGTTTTACTGCTAAATCTGACTTCAACATCTTTTTCTGTCTAGACAAACAGTAATTTCTGATACTCCATGCTATATTCTGATCAACTGGCTTTTCCTTGTGTCAGGAAATGAAATACCACATTAATCAGATAATAAACCTGGCCATTACAACAGATCAAAGATTTTTTACCTGCGTTTTCAAATCAAATCAAATCAAATCAAATTTTATTGGTCACATGCGCCGAATACAACAAGTGCAGACATTACAGTGAAATGCTTACTTACAGCCCTTAACCAACAGTGCATTTATTTTTAACAAAGAAAGTAAAAATAAAACAACAACAAAAAAAGTGTTGAGAAAAAAAAGAGCAGAAGTAAAATAAAGTGACAGTAGGGAGGCTATATATACAGGGGGGTACCGTTGCAGAGTCAATGTGCGGGGGCACCGGCTAGTTGAGGTAATTGAGGTAATATGTACATGTGGGTAGAGTTAAAGTGACTATGCATAAATAATTAACAGAGTAGCAGCAGCGTAAAAAGGATGGGGTGGGGGGGCAGTGCAAATAGTCTGGGTAGCCATGATTAGCTGTTCAGGAGTCTTATGGCTTGGGTGTAGAAGCTGTTGAGAAGTCTTTTGGACCTAGACTTGGCACTCCGGTACCGCTTGCCGTGCGGTAGCAGAGAGAACAGTCTATGACTAGGGTGGCTGGAGTCTTTGACAATTTTGAGGGCCTTCCTCTGACACCGCCTGGTATAGAGGTCCTGGATGGCAGGAAGCTTGGCCCCAGTGATGTACTGGGCCGTACGCACTACCCTCTGTAGTGCCTTGTGGTCGGAGGCCAAGCAGTTGCCATACCAGGCGGTGATGCAACCAGTCAGGATGCTCTCGATGGTGCAGCTGTATAATTTTTTGAGGATCTGAGGACCCATGCCAAATCTTTTCAGTCTCCTGAGGGGGAATAGGCTTTGTCGTGCCCTCTTCACGACTGTCTTGGTGTGTTTGGACCATGATAGTTCGTTGGTGATGTGGACACCAAGGAACTTGAAGCTCTTTGTAGGGCAGTATAGTAGGTGATGTAACCACAGATGTAGGTTATAGTTTAACCACATAGAAAGGGTTACGTTATTACATGATCACATATACAGGATGTATGACCATGGATGAGGGAGAGGTGACCGTGAAGAGGAGGTCCATATGACCATACAGATCTAAATACCTCAAAATCATGTATGACCATGACCGCAGGGGATAAGGGATAGATCGAGTAACGTTACTTTAAAAGGTTCCAGAGAGTTTAGTCTTTTAACCTCCTAAAACATCCCCCCCAAGATCATTCATTTCAAGTAATTTGGGGGTTTTCAGTATAAATGAAATATGTTCTGTGGAAAGGGTTCAAGTGTAGAGCAATCCTTATGACAAGACTGACTATGTATCCTTCAACACCAATCCACTGGCTGTGTGTTGTCACTACACTTTATATATACATCAGCACCCCTCCGCTGTCTGCAACCTGCCTGCTGTGTGGAGAGGAGATACGTCTTCATTGGTCGTAAATGAAAGCTCATTTAAGTTCAGAGTGTGTTTCATATGAAACGAGAACAAGCCAGTCCCTGGAAACACATGTTGCCTTGTGATAACCCTGTCATAAATCTAAACTTGAAAGTTTCAAGTTCAAACCTCTTGGAAAATATATGAATCTGGGCTTGGAGGGAACTGGATCATAAAAGTATCCAACGGAGTATGAAGATCATGTCTGTCCACAGATAAATAAGTTGGTCTCTTGGGTAAAAAAACATGTACTGAAGCTGTGGACGGGTCTAACTGCTCATGCTCAGTACGTCCACTTTGCAGTGTGACGTCTACAGCTCTCTCTAAGCCAATGGTTTTCCCTCAGGTTAGAGGTCACGTTTTGTTTTGTCTTACTTTCTAATGACCTCTACTCATTGTTCTACAGCGGGAGTACGGGATGCACCTCTGACCAGGGAGAAACCTCATCCAACTGGGCCAACTGGGACCCAGTACTGTCACAGTTACACCTGTGGGATATTCAGTAAGTATGGGGTAAAGAGTCAAGGGGTCAGGGGTCATGGGGTCAGGGGTCATGAATGAGCCGAAAGTATTTTCAGGGCCAGACTCCAGAAGAGACATAAAATGGAGGATAATAAACACAAGAAGGAGGGGGAGAGTCGAAGGAGTACTATCCACTTTCAAATGATCTCTGTAAAAGCACTTTAATAATTTTGTGAAGGAAACAGGATGAGGGAAGGTAAGAGAGATGAATTTACATCTTTATTACTGCAGCCACAGCTGCTCTACCCTTTAAAAGCTTCCCTGGACTAAACCCAGCTAAATCCTCTGTCTGTCTGCACGGGAATAGTGGCTGGTTGCGTCCCAATCTGTTTGTCTGAGTTGGGATTTGCTGTACTGCCTGGGAGGAATTCGTGGTGGGTGTCCTAACTTCACTGCCTAATATTAGTGTTCCTCGCCTGAAACTCATCAACAAGCTAAAAACATCCATACCTGGCCTAGTACAGTGCTGAGCTCCTTCAAGAACACATTGTGACTCAGCTGACAAGGGATGCAGATATCTAAAGGATCTCTCCATCAACAGAGTGATGCACAGGTCAACCTGTGTGTGTGTGTGTGTGTGTGTGTGTGTGTGTGTGTGTGTGTGTGTGTGTGTGTGTGTGTGTGTGTGTGTGTGTGTGTGTGTGTGTGTGTGCGTGTGCGTGTGCGTGTGCGTGTGCGTGTGTGTGTGGAGAGGCAGTGTGATGTGATGTGGAGTGTAATGATAATGTTCTCCCTGCTTCTCAGAGCTGATTGACATCTGCGATTGGCAGCCTGTGAGTTAGTGGAGCCTTAAGGGCAGACACACAGCCTGTTGGATGACTGGCATACTACGGTCAAACACACACACACACACACACACACACACACGCACACACACACACACACACACACACACACACACACACACACACACACACACACACACACACAGAGACTGTGTAATGACATATATGTATAACACACACATATACACACAGGTTGTACACATGCACTGAAATATAACCATTGTAACCAAAACACACACACACACAATCACAGTATATAGGGATTATCTTTCTCTCCCCCTGAGTGTGTCTGGGCAGGGTCGGTCCAGGAGAGTTTTAATGAAGCCTGCCCTCTGTCTCTCTCTGTCCCCTCTCAAAGAGTGGGGTCACCTCAGCGCCATGGCAACGCCTGCGGCCGTGCTCCCTGGGTCTCGGGGATCCTGGGAAGGGAGCTGGAGGAATGCTGTATCTGATTGTCTGCCTCACGGAGAGGTGGCCACAGGCTGGACCTTGCACCCCGCACCACGTATCACATGTCCGCTAAGCAAATCCAGCTCCGCTCTAAGCCCCAGAACCATCCAGCTGACACCAACCCAGCCATCCCATGGAGCATGGACACAGCCTGGGAATAGGCCTGTGGAGGTGGAGGTGCCATAGTCATCAAATTTGAGCTGCACACAGACTGTACAGAGAGGTGTGTAAAATGTTAGCGCCTCTGAATGAGTGAGGACGTTGGCTTTTTATGAATTCAGTCTCATTCCAACTGCTGCTATTCCAACTGCCACTAAGGAGATAACCTTTGCATGGGATCACTGACCTACCAATAGTGATATAGCGTTCAACCCTTTGAATAATCTGTAATACACTTTTTTGTGTATAAAATGTATTCTGAAATCTGCATGTTATGTATTAGGTGTAATAAAATGCTTCCACACACCATGGCATGAGATAATATTGGGTGTGAAAATCCCAGTCCTCTGCAGCTATAAGGGATGTCTAGGCAGTACCAACACAAATCCAGGTCACCGCACGCGAAGGACTCAGCACACATAACGGCATGTGACAGGTAAGGAATACACAGAGGCAGAGCATCTGCAATACTTATTGACCTGTGTATAAAGGATGACCTTTTTATTAGCATGCTGTCTCTCCAGTCGGGGCTGAGAGCAGTCTTCTCTTCCTCAGCCTCTCGATGTGACGGGCCACTGGGCCAACCCCCCAGCCCCAGGCCCCATGGGATCCCCCAGTTGTCCCAGCGTCAACCCCAGGAAGAGCTGCCCCTCTTCTGCCTGGCTTCCCAATCTAGGCCCAGGACTAATCGGGCCTTCACCTCACCTGACAGCAACACAGACTGAGAAAATGTCAAGGCCGGGAGAAATCCTTAAGGAACCGATTCAACATCTATAATGTACAGGATTTATCTTCACGCTGGCGTTCCTATATGTCAAACTGTTAGAGGGAACAACAAAACAAATTGAAAGCACAGATGTCCGTGTCATATCAATTTACAGGATCTGATGCAAACGGAATCTTCACTTGAGTTTTTACACAGAATCTGTAGATTTATGTGCCGTAAAAGCAAACATTGTTGCTATGCCAACACATGTTCCGCTTATGGTCTCAGTGTATTAGAAACGTATCCAATGGATGTCCAATTCCAGTTGTTGACTGTGGTATTAAATATGTCCAGTGCCTGTTTTGACTGCTGGATGCTAGGGAGGAGGAGGATGGGTTCTAGGAGACAGATCAGCAGTGGGTCTATCAAGCCGTATCAGTGGAGCTGGGTAATGGAGAAACAGCCTGTCTGCATGTCACTGAGTCGGAGAGTCAGAGAGGAGAACTTCCATACTCTGCTTCTGAGGTAATCAGTTACAATCCAAGTTTGGGGCTTGGCCAGCAATTTCCCATGCATACCGACATGCATAACACATAATGCACTCGAACACACACACACACACACACAGTCTTCACACACAACCCCCCAACCCCAAACCTGTGGAATGTTCATCCTAAAAAGAACCCATCCCCTGTGGTCTGATTCTGAGAATTCTTCCTTTCTTTCTATCTCTCCATCCCTTTAATCCTACCTCACCCCCACCTGTCTCCCCCACCCACCTTCCCCTCCTCCCTTCATTCCAGCAGTCGTCTGTGAGGAGATAACGTGTGTGTCAGTCTGCCTGCTTCGCCTCTCCTCCTCTTCAGCGGAGAGAGGGATGAGACAGAGGGATTATCAGAGAGAAAGAGAAAGATGACGGATAGAGACAGGCTGAGGATGATAAACTAGCCTTGTCAGCCACACCCAACTCCTCTCTATCTCCCCCATCTCCCCCTCCGTCAAACACAGCTCTCCATCTTTCTCTCTGACACCAAACCTCACATTAAACACGCTCCACCGTGAATTCCCTCCTAATTAAATCCCCAACATCTATCATGCTTTAGCCTTCAAGATGTTTCATGCCTGCCCCTCCTCTCCCAGCCATTTCCTTACATTGTATCCATTCAAAGCTAACTCTCAGGTTAGTATAGCTTAACTTTAGCCTGTCTCGTTGACCGTAAAGCTGTCCAGTGTTCAGCCAGGCTCCCTCTCTAAATGAATGTTCACCACATAACCACACAGCTCAGAGGGAGTATTTATATTATCATTATTATTATTATGATCCAGCCCTCACCCCCAGGCCCACACTCCCTTCCAGTTCCTCCTTAGAGACCTGTGGAGACAGAATTTAGAGGTTGGTCAGGAGAGAATGGGTGTGTGTACAGATTGCTTCCTTTTCCTGGCTTTGCTTTTGATCCATTTCTGTCTCACTTGGCTCGAGGCTGGGATTTTGGGGTTGGGGTTGGAAGGGATTGAGAAAGGCGAGATGGATACATTCCCCCTGCTCCCTCAGACACACACAGATGTATAGGTCTGGATGAGAGCCCTGCGGAGTCAACTTCTGGCTGGTCATTGGTCGGATCCAACCACCGGCCTGCCTTCTCTCATATAGATCTGTATGTCATCCATGGGCCCACTGGTCATGTCTCCCGAGTGGCGCAGTGGTCTAAGGCACTGCATCGCAGTGCAAGCTGTGCCACTAGAGATCCTGGTTCGAATCCAGGCTCTGTCGTAGCCGGCCGCGACCGGGAGACCCATGGGGCGGCGCACAATTGGCCCAGCGTCGTCCAGGGTAGGGGAGGGAATGGCCGGCAGGGATGTAGCTCAGTTGGTAGAGCATGGCGTTTGCAACGCCAGGGTTGTGGGTTCGTTTCCCACAGGGGGGCCAGTATAAAAAAAAAGAAGGTTAAAATAAAAAAAATTAAACATTGTATGCACTCACTAACTGTAAGTCGCTCTGGATAAGAGTGTCTGCTAAATGACTAAAATGTAAAAAATGGTCACCTCTCTGCACGCACACACACTCAAATACACACACCCCTGAAGTACTACAATGGGGCTATTGTCGTCTGAGAATGAAACAACCCCCAAACACCCTTTTTCATATCCGGACCCCATACCTGGCACTCACAGGCCACTCAGCACCAGCTCAGGGACCTCACGGATGGAAAGGACCAACAACATGGATACAGTGCGTTCCCTATTCCTAATTCAGTGAGGGTTCCCCATTCCCTACTCAATAACTGTATTACAATCACAGGCAAACATCCAGTGGCAATAGCTGAACTCTCAGTATAGGTAGTGGTGATGAAGTGCTTTAGAGAGCAATGTCGCATGGTGACGTAGTGGGTATCTCAGTATGAGTTGTCATATAACTTGCACTCATGGATCATGACTCAACATAGAGCAACCACATGTGAAAATCTGTTAAAGACTGTGTTCCCACTTTCAGATGTTCTGCGAAACCCGCACAATAACAGACCACTGATTGAATCCTGAAGGAGTGATGAAGACCTCTGGCTGAAGGAAAGAAAGAGAGAAAAATGAGAAAGAGGAGAAAGGGGGGTCTGCTGAGAGAGACAGCCTGTCTGCTCCCAGGACCTCCCCAGCCCCAGAGAAGAGGGTCAGAGACACCCACAGGCCTGGTCACAACCAGGGGCTTGAGTTCCACCTGCCCTGGGGAGAGGGGGCCCTGACCCTGGCCTGCCCTCTGCATTGTGTGGGGAGGTCTTCCGTGGCGCCTGGTTGCATTTCGTAACACTCTGCTGTCCTGAAGCCCATGTCTCATCCACCTCCCCAGCCCTCAGTGCCCCACTGTGGGGTGCAGGTCTCGCCTCAAAGAGACCCCTCTG